TTTCTCTTAAAGTTAAGAGATTCCTCTTAAGAGATAAGAGTTAAGAGGAAACGAACATGCCCTTAGTCTAAAAAAAGTTTCACACAACATCCCCACTTAATTAGGTGGTTCTTTTTTACTTTCCCCTCGTTCCCAAAGAAAGTCTGTCATTAAGTTCTCCAACTTCTTGACCTCCTTAGGTAGTATCTTAAATATTGATAGAAAATAGGTAGATAGATTCACCAGTATGACTCTTATCAAAGTGATCCCACCACCCAGAGAGATGTATTTCTTCTTCCACGATTCCAGTCTCTTCTCAAATTTTTCTAACACTTGTTCCAAAACCTACTCTCCCTAGGGTTAGCCCTTAACGAAAGCCCTAGGTAGGACATAGGCCAAGGGATGGAACACTCTAGACACTTCATGATAGCCCCAACCTCCCTATTCTCCAAATTCACACTTGCTATGCAACAGATTTATAGGTTGATTCTCAAATTGGTAATTCTTTCAGGGCTTCTATGTATTCTCCAACCTCTTATAACGTCTTCCCTATCAGCTACTAGAGTAAAAAGGAAAGGTGATAGAGGGTCCCCTACATAACACCCCTGCAAGTTGGAAAGAAGTCTTTCACCACTTCGTTAACCAAGATAGAATAGTGGAATGTATTGATACAACTGAACACCCAACTACACCACCTTTTTCCAAACCCACATTTAATCAAAACCTCCAATAAAAACTACCAATCCACCAAATCATTGGCCTTTTCAAGATCCAATTTTACACACAAAGCCTTTTCTCCTAGATCTCTTGAATTCATCCACACAATCATTGGCAATCAAGGTATGATCTATTATTTGTCTCTCTTGTATGAAAGCCCCTTAGATTTGCCTATTAAGCAAACTGCCTATCAATATCCTCTTCTTTGAAGTTCCTTTCCAACCACCTAACCTTTTCATTAACCAGCCTTGGCCACTCCACCCCTTTCACTAATATTCTCTCATTCAAAGGCCCTCTAAATATGGACTTAAAGTGGTCCACAAACTTCCTAGCTATTTCCTCTAGATTGATAATCACCTCCCCTTCCGCTTAATCCTAGGTTCTTTTGAATGACTTCATTTCTGACCTAGTCATTTCTAATTTTTCCATGCCATCTCAACATTCACATTTGTTTTTCTTTTCTTTTCTTTTTTTTATTTGAGAAAGGTAACTATTTCATTAAGAGTAAAAAGAAGATATTACACAATTGTTTTTTGAATCCTTAAATTTATGCAAGTGGAGGAAGTGGTCATCTTAAATAGTGATTTAAAAGGCATGCCTAGGCGCACAGCTGAGGCACATTTTAGGGTAGGTGCCTCGCCCAAGCCCTAGGCACACATACAGTTTTCAAAAGGCGCATGCCTGGTGCGCCTGATGCGCCTGATGCTCCTTGCACCTTGGCCCAGGCATGCGCCTTTTGAAAACTGTACGTGCGCCTAGGCGTTCGCTCGCTCACCGAGAACCCCCTATTTGCTAATGTTGTGCATTCATTTATCTTAATAATACATCTTCTTAAAAGGCAATTGAAATAATTAAATCATTATTTTTTGTGTGAGAATTAAGAATTTAAGACCCGAACATGGACTTGTTTGGGCTTGCCTCAAGGGGCATGGCACAAAGGTGACTCGTAGAATCAGGAGTGTAATATGTTTTACATCACATTGGCTACTTGAAGTAATGCAATTGAGTAAAAAAAAGAGATTGTGGGCTTTACATGCTTGAAAATGTTTTATATGTTTGATTTTATTTTTAAGTTTTCATTTGAATATGCTTTACATGTTATATTTATGTATTTTAATTTTAGATAGTGGGTTTTTAAACTATTAATTTTAAAATTTAAGTTTATATTTCTTATTAATATTATGTTTAATATTTTTATTTTTTTTTGCATTGTTCTTTGAATTTTTTGACTTTTTTTTTATTTTGTAGTAATTTTTTGTTTTTTCTTGTATTTTTGCTCCTTGCTTCAAAAAGGTGTGCACCTTGCGCTTCTTGCCTCGGGTGCAAATTGTCCCTTTGTGCCTTTTTTGTGCCTTACGCTTTTAAAACGCTGGATGGTATCACTTTAAAAGGGCATCTCAGTGCACAAGGCTCCCTCCAATGTGGGGTCTGGGGAGGGACATATACACAGCCTTATCCCTGCAGACAGAGAGGCTGTTTCCAGGATATGGACCCTATGTCACCCAGGTTGCAATGGAGTAGCCCAACTGTTGCACCAAGGCCACCCTCATGTAATCACTTAAGAACATCATTTTAATCATTTTATAATGATTAATTATTTAAAAGTGTATGTCCTTTTATAATTTCAAGGAATATCCACAGACATTTTCATAGCTTAATATTTACAATGTTTTTTTTGATAATTGAGATTAATATTTACAATGATATAAAGTTTTTATAATTAATCTAAATGAAGTTTCTGATATTTCCAACATTTTCTTATTTGTAACTGGTCAGCATTTCCGCTGGGGTTGACATTTTAAATCTTGTCCATAGCTTTGCTCTTTACTATTATTGTTCCACTAGCTGAATGTGTTCCAACTGTAAACTTTGTAAGATTCTCATATGCTATCTTAACTTCTCAAAGCTAGTAAATAACTCCACTTGGAAAATGGCCTCATCATAGATCACCTCTCAATCATGTAGCATGTTCCCTTTATGGTTCCTTATTATCCCCCTTTCCAGCTATTAGAGATTGACCAGTAATCCTTTAATTAATAAATCACATGTTTTATATTGTTTTCTTGTAATTTATATCAAGGTTCAAAATATCAATACACCCAATACGCCGGTAAAGGTGTATTGGGCAGTATTGATGGCCATTTTTTTATTTTTTTAGTTTTTTTTTCAAATCTGGTTCAGAGGGGCCGGTTTAAGGCCCGTCCACCCCCTGAACCGGTTGAAACCCTGATACACTCTCTGTAGGGGCGTATCGGGAAGCTCCCGATACGATACATATTGGCCGATATGGCCCGATACGTATCGATACGTTGAACCTTGATTTATATCCAAGTTAATTTCATAAATTCAGATGACTATTTTATTCTGTAAATTTATCAGATAAATATTTGTATGCTCATTCCAATATTTGTGCTTCTATATATAGGAAGAAAACTTTGTTACAGTATAAAGAACAGAAAATATCCTATGGTTTGGTAGTTAAGAACTTGGATAGACTGCCAAGAAAAAACACAGATGCCGTTTGTGGGCTTATACATGCACACATGCACAAGGTGCAAGCCCAAAACAAAAGAAACAAGCCAAACATCCAGAAGGACCAGAACCAAGAGATAATTACTCTGCCAAAAACACCAGCAAAACTCAGGCCTTCATACGCCACTTTTAATTAATCCAAATTTGGCTGAAAGCTATCTACATCAGTTCAACTGAAGTCAATTTGAAATGCAATGCAAATCTTTCATATATGGATCCTTTCCATTTCTGTAATTTGTGTCATCACCACTATCTAAGCTTTGTCCCAACTATATGGGGTTGGCTACATGCATCCTGTTTCACCATTCCATTCCGTTCAGTGCCATATCATCATCGTCATCGTCATTGAAGCCTTATCCCAACCATACGGCTACATGGATCCTGTTTTCCATTCCGTTCTGTTCAATGCCATATCCATTGTTAAACTATGAGCCCTTAAATCATTTCTTACTATAATCCATGTCCTTTGTTTGCCCTAGCTCTTCTAGCTTTGTCAACTTGTAACAGATAACAGTTTCTGTGGCTTTTGTATTTAAGTTATACTTATTACCATGTAAATTCTGTACAATGGGTTGCACAAACTTGACTATTATAATAATACAACACAATCTTTACTTATCAGAAAATATGGATAGAGGATTACTAAAAAGGCTTTACATTTTGAACAACATTTCCAATTTAAGTGATCTATACATTTCCACAAACATCCTTCTAGCTTAAGAGCCGACATTAGCTGGACTATATGGAAAGAAAGGAACCTATTTTTTTTTCAGATAAGGAGAGAAGAGAAACAGTTGTTGAAGCGATCCACATCAGGGTACTTAATTGATTTGTTAATGGGAGAGCTTATCTCTCCCATTCTCTATATAACATTGTACTTAATTGCTTTTATTTTAATAAATTTTCACAGTTAGTGATCCCAAAAAAAAAAAAAAGAAAGAAAAGAAAAACTCTACTAGTTGAACTTGTCTTACACCCCTGGTCCCATGCCTGGATAAAGAGGGTTGCATCAGGTTGGCAGCTGGCACTAAGACTTATGCAAACTTTCATGATCATGGATCCTGATTTGTCTTCTCATGGCACTGAACAGAGCAGAATGGAAAAACAGGATTCATGTAGCCAACCTATGGTTGGGACAAGGCTTAGATGATGATGATGATCGTTCAAGCTTAAGAAAATATTGACATCTATGGGATAGAAAAGCTTTTGAGATGTGACACCATGCGGTGCTCGTCTCTTGCATTTTCTGTTACTTTATTTTATCTTTATGACAAGTTCGTTTTTATATCATTTCTAATCTGTTGATGTTGCTAAAGTTCGGGAGTTCTACATCTGATTTCTGCTGTGCCATTTCTTTTTCCATTTAATCGATCTTAAATACTGTATCTTATTGCCTGATGGAGAAATGTCGTCGTGATCTTTAACTAACTTGATCATGTGTTTGATCTAAGAAAATGGGGCCGATTAGGTGAGAAGTGATTGTATTCATATTGTCGAAATGTTTCACTCTTATGGTCTGTGATTTGCAGGCATAAGGCATATGCAATCCAGGGACCTTTTTTGCCATAGGTGGTTTATAGATTTATTATTTGTTGGATGAGTCAGATCAGATTTTATATCCCATTTCATCTGGCTGAGCCAGAGTGGTTTTGGGTTGGACATTGGGAACCCTGCATAAAGTTAGCTATTTCTTTTTATGCTAATGCAGTTTTTGATAGGAAATGCTTGCACTTCTAGATGAGCCTTATTTTGGTTGATCTTTTTGCTCACAGCAAGGATCCAGGTTACATCAGAATGGACTTACGTGATTCAGAAAACCAGAAAGATGATGTAAGTTGCTTTCATTTGCTGCTTGGTTCTTGGTTTTGGTGTTGCTCATTATTTATCAGTAACCAGTTCTTCTCTTAAAGTTAGGATTGTGTTTTCTAATTTACTGGCATTTTCATGCATCAACACTCCCTTGGCCAATCAAAAGGAGCTCATGGTCATAATTTTTCTCTTAATAGGAACCTTTGTTGAAGGTTGAGTTAAATCATCCTGCTTTGCTGGCTGGGAATTGGTCTCAGCTCTGTGCAACATGCAAGGTAGCGTCTACTTCTGATTTGCATTCTTGTGTCTGCAGCTAGTTTCTGAACTACATTTTGTTCACTTTCTTAGCATCTAATTTATTTTTCAATTTGCTTTGCTATTTAGATTGTCAGACCACTTCGCGCAAAGCATTGTTCTACATGTGATCGTTGTGTTGAACAGTTTGACCATCATTGTCCTTGGGTGTCAAATTGTATTGGGAAGGTGCTTTATCACTGATCAATTGCCTCTTTGTCCTTTCTTAGTTGCACTTGTTCTTAAACTTTAAGAATAAAGGAAAGTAGGAAACATAAAGAATCATTCTCACCTTATTGAATTATGCTTAGGACAGGCTCTGCTGATAATCTGGCTGACAGGTGGCTTTTCTTCTCTTTAATTAACTTATGATTGCAGAAAAACAAGTGGGATTTCTTCATATTTCTTATTCTAGAAGTTTCTGCAATGCTGGTTACTGGTGTAGTTGCTCTTATAAGTATGTTTCTTCTTTAATCAACTGAAACAATCTTGGCTTCACCTGTTTACCTGCCAGGAAGAAATAAAGAATTGCCATTAATGCAGGACTATTGAAAGATCCAACCGCTCCATCTTCTTTTGGGGCATGGATGAACCATGCTGGCACTCAGCATATAGGGACTGTATCATTTCTGATTGTGGACGTCTTCCTCTTTTTTGGTGTGGCAGCCTTAACTATCGTACAAGCTTCTCAGGTATGTGTGTATTTAATCTAAAGGTAGTGTTTTATATTATTAGAGTGCAAGTGAGTTGTTGGTCGTCGGTATAGGTGAGTTATTCATGCCATTAGGATACAACCCAGGTTTTGTATGGTTCAAGTCCTTTTCTATTACGTATTAAAAGAGTGGGTTCAACCTTTTATTTCTATTGGACTTCAACCTTTTTTTTTTCGGTTTAGTTTTGATTCCTTTTATTTCTATTCTTTTCTCATTTATGTATCCGTATTCTTGCTCTTGCTCTCTTAAAATGCAAGTGCCTGATCCTAGATTTTCATAAGAAAGCAACCTCAAAGGTGGACTAGGAAAAATGAAATCTTGAATTGGGTAATGGACTAGTGGTTTAGATGTCTATTTTTTATTTATTTGATGCTTAATACTGATGTTTCATTATTCATGTAATGCTTGACACCGATGAGACTGATGTTTCTTCAGCAATTGCTAACACAAACTCACTTCTCTGCTATAGATATCTCGCAACATAACAACAAACGAAATGGCAAATGCAATGCGCTATGGCTATCTTAGAGATCCAGGTGGTCATTTCAAAAATCCATATGATCATGGCATCAGGAAGAACTGTTCAGATTTCTTTATCAAAGGATACAATGAAGATGTAGAGTATACTGAAGAACCAAATCATTCCGGCACTGGAATGATGCAGATGGCAAGGAGTTCAAATTTGCAAAATAGGGAGAACCATTCTCATCATATCAGGAGTAATGCCCATGTTTCCATTGACGTGGATTCTAAGAGCACCAGACCTAATCATGCACGTGCGCACTCCTGGCAATGCAGCCGTAACCATGGAAAGGCCAATGGGCTCCCATTAGGGCTGGGTGTTGGCCTTGGAAGGAACAATGCTCGTTCTATTGTAATCTCATGATATCAAAACATGGCAACCCACCAACTCCTCCGAAGTCCCCCACCCCACCAAAAAAAAAAGAAAAAAGAAAAGCGAAAGAAGAAAAAAATTCCATCATCATGGGTGCATTGTAGTCTTTTGTAGCTGTAATTGATTATGTGCATACACAAACGGTTAGTCCCTTCAGTAATATAATTTATTATTGCATTTTTCTGAGGTTTCATGATTTGTGAATTTTCTCTTCATTTTGTTTCGTTTTTGTTCATTAATAAAAACTCTTAAGGTTGTGTTTGGTAGCAGCGTAAAATCCGGTTCGATGTAATTTTACACTCTGGTTCAGTCTTACAGCTGTTTTGGTTGGAGTGTAAAATAAAAATGAATATTGATGTAAACGAACTTTTTGATAGATTTTTGCATCAAGAATAAATGCCGCTGCTTTCATCTCTCCAGTGATGCAATGGTAGTTCTCTCAGTAATATCTCTCTTCTCCAAATTGCTTTCTCTCAACCTGTTGTTTCAATCTTCCTCCATGCCGCTGCTTCTCCTTCATGCATCTGGTGAGTGTGATTCTCTCTCTCTCTCCAAGAACAACCATAACTATGGCAGCCAACATGACCTTGGATGTCGGATTGCGATCACAATCACGACTTCAGTTGGTCAGTGGCCACCACGATACAACATCCATGATTCTAAGATGGAATCAGTCAGTCGGCAGTGAAAACCTGGACATGTCTTGGACAGAAGAGAAGCTTCTGCAACTACATGGTTCGGAGTAGCAGCAAAGTTCTAGATTTTGATCCCAAAACCAGAGTCTCAGTCTATAAGCCTAAATCCTACGAAGTTCTTGTCACAGATGCTGCAGATTTTGATCTCAAATTGATTTTCCGTGGGTTTTCTGTGGTTCAGATTTTCTGTTCTTTCTTCTGCTTTCCCTTCTAATTTCTTGCAAATATTTAACACAGATTCATCATTCATCCACTGATTCATCATAGGAAAATAGGGGTTCTTGTTCTACGAAGAAAATGGAAGCATTTAATCCTAGCTGCAACTTAGGCTTTTGAAGATCATGCTCAATGTTAAAGTGGAAAAAAGAGAGGAATTGAGCTATCGAAGGCTTAAGCGAGGCTATCTTTTACATCGATCATCCAAACACACGAGTGTAAAATGAGTATAAGGCTGATTTGCTTTTTATACTCAGAAATCTGTCTGTTAAACTCTATCGATGTAATTTTGTATTTACACCACAAACAAATCCGCACCCTAATTGACTAAGCATCTAATTTATGAGGGCTATTTTGTGAGTTAGTTTTGCAGGCACTGGTTTCTAGTTTCTGGTAGACTGATAGGGTAGGAATAGGATTCGTGCTAATATAGGCCGAAGGCTGGTGGTTGATTGAAGTAATGTTTAAATGTACTCAAGTAAGGTCAGTCCCATTCATGGTTTTAATTTTGCCAAAATTTTCGATTAGATGGAGGGTGGATAAAATTGAAACCACTGAATGTTTGGGCAAATCTGAGATATTTTTTAACCGCAATTTTAGTGCATTTATACCTTTGTCAAAATTGAAGACCAAGGGTTCAAAATACCGAAACATATTTTCTAGGTATTATAGCTTTGCTTGCATGCAAAACCATCGACTCGTCCAACAACTCACCAACTAGCTAGATGAACCATTGAACGATTTGAGCCGGTCAATAGGTCACACGATAAATATTAATTCTTTTTTTCTTTTTGTGTATTTCTCTATCATTGATAGCATAATTTTTATCTATTATACCTGTTTGGGGAAAATCTATGATGCCAGAAAGACATCATACCAGAATGGCTTTGACCGATCATAATCCCCCATGAATTTTGGTGAAAATCCATCTGATTGTTTTTCACTTTTGTGATGTTAGTAGATTGGTTGTAAGTTTTTTCCGTATCATATTTTTCTGGCATGTTTGTTTAATATGATGAAACATATTAGAGGAATGCATAACATTTCTACAATTTTTTTTTTGTTTTTTGTTTTATTTTTATATATTTATTAATTAGTTACATTATTATAGATTGACTTATATAACCCAAATGATTGAATTGCTAACTCAGGATTGAACAGAAAAAAAGTTTGATTTTTAGATTGGTCATAAAAATATTTTGATTTTTAGGTTACCCATTTGATCATTGATGAATCTTTACTTTGACAAAATGGTTTCTTACCAACATATACCAAGGATAGATGTGTGCAAAAGAACTGAACGAGAACCTCCCAAATCCCAAGCAATTAACTAAAAGAGGTGTGAAGTGTAATCCTTTGGAATATAACCACTTATTCGGTCATATAGGGGCTGCAATCTTGATAGAGCAGGTATGACCGTTCTTTATCAATCCCCTAAAAATCTCTGCAAGGGCCCCTGCTTCCCTGTGTGCCCCAGAATACTGGTAGAGGACATACATACTCTTGTTTGGTGTGCAGTGGGCACCATAGACATAAAATTTAGATGTCCAGTAGCTGCAGTAATGAATAGAATAGTGTGGGCACCATAGACATTAGAATTTAGATATCCAGTACTTCCAATAATGAATTGATGACTTAAGTGCACCTACCAATATCTCAAGATACCATTTCCAACTTGCAAAAATTGCTTCCTGTTGTCATATTCCTGACTCTATAGTCAATATCATTACTAAAGTAATATTAGTAAAACCCTCCACTTTTTCAAATGGGCCGGAAAGAGTTTTCTACTTTTCTTAACCAATCACCGAAATATCTTTGCAAAATAATATATTCTTTTAACCCTGTTGGAGGGTTTAGTGCCCGTTTGGGAGGGCTGAAGCATATTGACTTCTGGCTTTCCGAGATGGACCACACATGAACAGCTTATAAACTATGATTGGTGAAAAATCTGGAAAGTCCAAATCAGCTCTTAACCAGTTATTTGAAGGGCTGTGGGCTTCAGCCTCTTCTAATCAGCTGACCTAACTTAGTTGAATCTTCAGCTTACCCCTCCCAAATGGGCCCTTAATGCGGCAAGTCTCTACTGTCCATCAAGTATATTCTTATTTCTCAATCTGTTCAGAGCCCTCCATCTAGATTCCATACATCACAATACATTGTGTTGTTTATGATCACTGGTAGATAGATGTTGGGTAAGACTTGACTCACAAAAGAGGATGATGTGACAGATATGTGACAGATACACGGAGCTACTTTGAAGTTTGAACCGCCACCTAAACTTCTTATTCTGAGACTGTTTGGTTTTGGTTCCATGAATGTGAATATCCCTTTGATGGATTTTCATCACTAAACATTTGATGTACTTGAGTTTTTGAACTTGTTTAATTATATAAGACAAGGTAAGTCTACTTAAAGAAAGGCTCAAACAAAACATGTTAGTGGGATTGCCTATTCTGATTTGAAATTTAATGATAAGAGGTGCTTAGTGCATTTAGTGGAGCTTTGATCATACCTGATTGATGGTGGATGATACATCAAAATAATCTGACTTTTTATTTTAAAACTCAGATGCTCTATGCATTAGGGAGCTGATCCCTGTGGCAGAAATTGGGCCAGATCAAGGAAACTAGATTTTTGGTATTTAATCAAGGCTTTTGAAAAATTTTGAACCTATGTTTTGGCTGACAAAATTTTATAATATGAAGGTCAAAGTTTTAGCTGAAAAAATGAATCAATGTTTAAGCTTAATTCTTTTTCAAGTTTGAATATTCCTAACCTAATACAAACTTTGCCTAGTTTTAGTCTTCTTTTTGTTCAATTGACAAACTGGGGTGATGTTTGGTAAGAAGAATCGATCTGCCAATTCACATTTGATAACTCAATTCTAGTTTTCTAACTTACCCCTGCACTCGATTAATATCAATTCAATTAATTAATGTTTAGTATAAATTAAGCATTTTCAAAAGATAATAAGGTTGAGCTTACTCAAATCATATCTAACTTTGAAATTTGATTAGCAAATCTCAAGGAATAAATGCGTAAACATGAAGACTTGGGCAAACATAAAGAAAGCCTTTAAAAAAATACATAAAGGGTTAGGGTGTCAACAAAGTCAAACATTAGAATCAATGAATCATCTAATGATTTCATCTTTTCTAGTTTTCTATCTTCCTTTATTATAGTTGAAAAAACTCCAAAACGTTTTAATAAGACCACTTCCTTTCTTTTCGTTGCAGAAATCCCTCAAAGAAAGGCTCAGTTAGTGGTGTGTATAGAATTCTTCTGTTTTTACATTTTTTTTTTCTATTAAAGGACCAATTTGTGTCATTTAGACAGTCTGACTGCCTATACACAAAAAAGATAATGAATTTAAAATGTGTCAATATGAGGGTTTACCTTTTTGCCCTTTATTTTGAGGTGAGGGAGTAAGAAAACTGTTTTAAAATTCTGTTTTAGTAATCAACATGATTAGTGGGCAGTTTGATAAACTGGGGTTAGGCAGGTTGATTGAAAAATCTTATTATATTTTTCTGTTTGTGTAGTCGAGACAATCAAGGGTGGCCTTGCTTGTCATATTAAATTGATTAATTCTATAGTCAATATCCCAAATTCCGCATAATCTTATCCTGAATAGTCTCCAATTTTTGGACCAGCTCACATGGTTTAGAGCCCATATTCCCAGTAAACCAATGGGCAGCTGCTGGTTTGGCAGTGCTGAAAAACATAGGTCATAGGTGAAATATCTTCTTCATTGGCATCTGCTGTGAAGCTATTTGGAAAGAGAACAAAGGACATGTAAAAGGGTTTTTGGGTCTTAACTTGCCAGATGTCAGCATTCTACAGTTAGTGCATCAAGACCCCTTTGATGGTTCTCACCATGGAGAAGAGAACCCAAAAAGAGTAAAACCATGATTTGCAATTTCTCTCAGAAAACAATGAATTTGATGGCTAATTGCCACTTGACTTGATCACGTTACAGTTACACTATCTTCTGTGGGACCCACCAAATAGTTGGGCCTTGGGCCTTGATCATCTGCAATATCATATATGTCCAGTTACAGGGGCCCCAGGTTGTAACTACGCTTCCTGACTTGAGACAATCCATGATATAAAAATAATGGAGTGCTCCCCAGGCCACATGCCGTGACCGACCACCAACATAGAATCATAGATCACGGATCATTGTTTGTGATGCCATCATTTTTATTGATTAAATGAACTGGGCTCAGATTCTTGACTCTGCTCCCACAAAATTGAGCCCAGTTCAAGCCCATGGTCATGTCATATGGGCCCGTAGACCCATAAACATTCCCCCTTCACAACTCAAAATTCAGGGTTTACACCTTTCGTTCAAGCTGAAGGAGCTTAACCCATACAAGGCCAAACAACCCTTGCTCTTTCATTGGCAAAACAGCGTATGGGTCTATAACTTGCCACGTGTCTACATTTGATGATCCTGACCAACCAACCACTCTCTGCCTCTGGGTCTGACTATGGAGATTAATTTAGAACAAAGAATTAAAAAAGGAACATACTGAATTAGTAATAGGATCCATCGATCGAGTGAGTTTTGATCTTTTGAGCATTCACCACGTGTCAAGTTAGGTGGGCCCAGGACTCAACCTGACAACTGCCCATTCACAGTCTATTGATATTCAATTATTCCCTGAGACGGCCATATTAATACTCCAAACGTTCACGCCAGTCCATGATCTAACAGTCACAATTATTTGCCTAAGCAGATGTAGACTATTCAGGCAGTTGGCTTAAGTGGGGGCCACTTAATTAGTGGAGTACTGGAGTACGGTTGCTCAGCTGAGAAAGGAGTACTGAATACGGTGTACCGATACCGAACTGGTGACTCGTCCGAGTTAGTATTTGGTGATGAAGTGACAAGGACACGAGTTTAATGATTAAATCCAATTAAGAATTAATTAAATAAACAAATAATAAAAATAATTAATAAGACACGCTGCGTCTATGATTTTCCAAAGCACCGCAATACCGCATCTGACGCTACTCGATAAAACCACAAACAATAATAAAAGCCGGTGGGGGTCCCACTTTTTTCTTTCTTATCTAATCTTCATCCGAAGCTATTGCCTCACGAGCCTCATCAATCACGAAAACAACACGTGTCATCGACATGCTGGTCCGGAGTTTCCTTCGGTTTTCTGCTCAGCCCTCCTCGCACTTGTGACTTTCCGCACTCTTTTCTAGTTTTCTTCCTCTCTCCCTCCGATGATCCATTCGTGTAATAACCTCTCTCTCTCTCTCTCTCTCTCTCTCGGTATAATCCCACAAAACAAGATGAAGAGAGAAATTCAGTTTTCGGACATCTGTGTTTTTGAAACCGAACAATCGATTAGATGAAGCTTTCCTGATTTTCTCCTCCCCTTTTTTCAGGTATTTCCCCATTATTTTCCCATAATTGATCGTTTCCGTTTACGCAATAAGCTTTGTTTGATCGGAAAACGCTTTACTGCTCGTTCTTTTAGTTCGCTTTCGAGTTTCGTACTCGAAGATCATCAACTTTGCTGGTTTTGTTCTCTCTTTCATCGCTTCAAGTCCCTGTAAGGTTGTAAAACAATCGTCGTGGTGTTATGTTTCGTTTCTTATGTCTATTTATTTATTTGTTTGTGGTTTGGTTTGGTTCTGTTTTGGTGTAAACCGACCAAACGTAGTTCAGTTTTCTCTGTGGAAGGTCTCTGGAAGATTGTAAACTGAAACATTTTGTTTTGTCATTTTGTTCAGTGCTGCTAACTCCTACTTCAAGCTCTAAGTATGTTTGGTAGCTAACAAATAGCCCCTTTGAAGTTAAATTGCTATCATGGCTCAGATTTTCAAGTCCATTAGGTTGTTTAAAGGAGATAGTTCCCTTGTGAAGCTTGGTCGATGTTGTCTTCAAATATAAAGAGTAAAGATATAATAGTTGTAGGATAATGAATGCATTCCTTATGGTATGTGGGTTCTTCCCATAATCTAAATAACTGTTTTTTATCAAATATCAGCCTAAACGAAGTACAAACTACAGTCGATATGTTTTTGTGGCTGAGCTGAAGATTTGGGTCGGTGGTAGCTGGTCAGCTGGGTCTCTCCCTAATATGCACAGTGTTTGATTTTTGGCCCATCTCCTTCAGCTACACTCCTATTTGTTATACTTCTTGGTTGGAACATGACTGTATGGATTTTTTTTTCACCTGCCGGCACCATGGTTGGCAAGGCGCCAGGTCAAAGATAGGGTGACGGGGAGTGCCTTGTTCACCGGCGACAATATTTTTTTTATATAAAAAATCTGGGTAATTTTAAATTTATTTGTTCCCTTTTTATGAAATAGCTTGTTTGTCTTGTTGTTATAGCAACCAGAAGGTAAAAGTATTCTAACATGAAATAAGCAAACACCAAAGGTATGAGTTAAAAGATCACATAACATACGAGAAAACTAGGGATGGAGGGAGATACAGAGAGAATGTGAGCGAGTTTGTTGATTGGGTAAAACCAGATAAATGAGTGGAGAGGTTCCTTGTTATGCTGTTAATAAGATATAGAGGAGAAATAATGTTTCAGCAGATAAAGCCTATGTATGATATAGCAAGGTGCAATGATTGAACTGCCGATGTGTCATGATGACTAAAATACTAGTATAAATAATAGTTGTTAATGGATCTGAACTTTGACATTTACTTTAGCAAATGAACTGCCTTTTAATGGCTTGAATGTACACCTTCTCTGCACTCAACAATATCAGAAACATTACTTTTATCTAGCCATATACCTTATTCTGCAAAATTGTTTGTTTCCTTTTATAGGGTGATGTAGGGGTAGGTTGACTGCAGTCACACCATTGCAGATTAAACAGAGTAGATTGTTATTTTATGCGCTCCTGATATTTATTGAACCACCAAATGGGAGGAGTTTGTTCAAGGAAGCGAGACCAGCAGGTCAATGAAGAGAGTATAAGGAGAGGAACCTCTGGGAGATATTCCAAAAGTGGAAGTTCAAAATGGTTGGGGACCTTATTTCTCCGTTCTTCTGTAGATATTCAACAGAGAGGAGGCAAATGCCCATCTCTCATGGAACTTTGTATTCATAAAATACGGGAGGTAATTCTTTTTCTTTGCATTTTTTTGCCCCAGGATCCTGACATTTATGTTTTGACCATGAATTTATTTTCCTACATGTAACAGAACATCAATAATTATAATACATTTTCAATGCTCCCAAGGGATATTAGTCAGCAGATCTTCAATGAATTAGTGAGTTTCCATTGTCTGACTGATGTTTCTCTCGAATCTTTTCGGGATTGTGCTCTTCAGGTAATAGTGTTTCACCAGATATCCCAACATTTTAAATGATGATTGCTTTTATTCCATGCAATAACTTTTGTACCTAATACTTATGGAAATTTCTAATGGGGTTTATGTTGTGTTTTGCAGGATATTTGTTTAGGAGAATATCCTGAAGTGAAGGACAGTTGGATGGATGTTATTGCTTCACAAGGGCCTTCTTTGTTATCTGTTGATTTTTCCGGTTCTGATGTAACGGATTCTGGGTTGGTTCTCCTCAAAGATTGCAAAAACCTCCAAGCCTTAACTTTAAATTATTGTGATGAGATTTCAGACCATGGACTAGAACACATTAGAGGTACTGTCAATGCCAATCACCCCTTCTTGTGGTAGCCTCGATAAAGAAGCTTCCATTTGTACTTTAGGCTCAGTTTGGAAGGGGTACAAATACAAATATGCAGAGTTCAAAACCTTACATTTTGTATTACTTTGTACATATTTGTACTGTACATATTTGTATTTGTATTTGCACTCTACATATTTGTATTTGTACTCCTTCCAAACTGAGCCTTAGTAATAGAATTTCAGATACTACTATCCAAATTAAGACCTTTGTATCTTTCTTGTTTACTACAGTATCTTTCTTCTTTTGCTTTCAGGTCTTACAAATTTGACTGCTTTGAGTTTAAAAAAGAACAGTGCTATCACTGCTGAAGGAATGAGTGCTTTTGCCAATCTAGTTAACTTGGTAAAATTGGATCTTGAGCGGTGTTTAGGGATTCATGGTGGACTCGTTCATCTTAAAGGTTTGTTAATCAGTATACTGCCTCATTTATGGAGTTAACCTTTCCACTCTCTTTCCTCTTCCTTTTTATTTGACATTAATTGCTTACTGAAATGGATTTCATGTATTGTAATATTTGACTCTTTTTAACAGGTTTGACAAAGCTTGAATCTCTTAACATCAGGTGCTGTAATTGCATAACAGATGCAGACATGATGCCTCTTTCAGGTGCCTACTGTATTTCATATTGTTTTCTTTATGTGTGTTATGGTTCTATGGTCTATCTCTATGGAAAATTTACAACTTACAACTTACATGCCATCTAAATTTTGAGATAGCTGTTGTAAAATTTAAAAAAAATGCTACTATGATTGCTTTTATTACAGTATCATTGAATGCTTGTTGTTGTACAGGATCTCATTGTACAGGCACAAGGCACTTATATTTTGCTATACCATTAATACAATCTTACCTTCTTCTTCTTCTTCTTCTTGCATTCCTAGCTTATGATTTTGTAATGGAAATTGTAGTGCTTATTCCATATTTGGCCTCAAAAGCATGAAGCAGTATCCCCACCATCATGGTAGATACTAGCTTGTTAGGGTGGGGCAGCATTGTGAGTGTGAAGTGGGTGGCTTGATGAAGTGATTGGAAAAATCTTGGTCATTTTAACTTAGATATCATCTGTTCTTAATTATGTTTCAGGGCTTACAAATTTAAAAGAGTTGCAAATTTCATGTAGCAAAGTTACAGATGCTGGAGTTGCTTACTTGAAAGGTCTATCTCTATCCCTCAATCCCTTCCCCTTATATTTAATTTACTTTTCGGTATTATGCATGACTAATGCACTTTATGCTCTGGCACCATTATTTTGGTTAAGGGAGTATTTGGACTTCTCTGTTGTATGTGGTCTTACTTGCGTATACCATATGTAGGTTTCTCATATGTGGTTTTTCTCATAGTTCGGCATTTCCTTATGTTTCACTTTTACCAGTTGTGAGCTTTTGGTCTTTAAGTTTGCATTTTCCAACTTTTTTTTCGCCTTCCTGAGTCCTGATTACAATTTACCTTCTTTCTATTGAAATGTTTCTTTTTGACATTTTACCTGTCATAGAACGAGTGTTTTTTTTTTGTCCCCTTTGATCTCAGTCAGTAGCAAGGGCAATTCATCTGTTCCTTTGATGGTTTGACAGATTTGAATGGGGTTTGTGGAGGTTGTCTCACTTCTTGAGAGAGACCAATGTTTCATGATCCAGGTTGAACACCTCATTCCATTTGATTTATGTGTTGGCCAGATTTGGCTAAGGGGGTTTCTAGGCTTGATCCATGGTCTACATTCCAATCTACTCACCTTTTTCTGTGTTTTGACAATGGGTTCTATTTTTACTGTCTGTAAGCTTTCTATATATTAGCCTTGGTCATCCCTCCACTAAACTGTTACTAAGGAGGAAAAAAATGGCTCCAGGCTTTGATAATTTCCACTTTAGGACAGTTCTTACTTTGGATCATTAATCTGGGTATGCAGTTTCATCTTTTTTTTTTTGTTTTTTTGCAAATGCCTAAAATCATTTCTTTACACGGTAGGTTTGCATAAGCTTGTTCTGTTGAACATGGAGGGATGCCCTGTTACTGCTGCATGCTTGGAGTTGCTTTCAGGTTCACTCTTAGAATATTTTTTTTTGTACTGATAATCAGATTCCTTATTATCATTTGTACAGTGAAATTTAAATTTTTATTCTGAAAATCCATATTTAAATTGGAAAATGGAAATAAGATCAAGGGACTCTTATTATTTGAATTTGTATAGGATGCGTCTGAAAATCTGGCATGGAAATGCCTTTCTTATGGGGATATGAAAATTGAATCACTTAAATATTTAGAATCTTACAATGCTTTTCCTATTAAGCTAATAGGCTTAGCAATTTATTTTACTGTTATACATTTCTGTATAATTGCAAATTGCCTTCTTGGAGATTTTTTTTCTCTTCATACATATATACATGTTTCGCTTCTTTGTAAACAACTAAACACTAACATTTCATTTACTAAATAATTGAGCATTAAAATGTTTTCTGGACTTTGTTGGGTGAGAAAAGGTAAAAAGTATCTTAATATTCTTTATTTTTTGAATGTCTATCTTATCTCTAGAAGTGAAAAATTTATTTCCTTTGATCTTGAGAGAAATTCCAGGACTTTTAAAATTATATTAATGTGTACATACTTGTAATGATTATACTGTACAGTTGGATGTACATTTCTATTATCAATAACATTATTCTATTACTGATACAAAAGTATAGTTTTTTCATTCACACTGATAAAAAATTATATTAATGTGTAGTTTCCTGATCCATGCAGAGCTTGTTGCCCTGTCATACTTGAATCTTAACAGATGCAATTTATTTGATGACGGATGTGAGAATTTTTCTGGTAAGTTATGCTAAAACTTTATCAGCTGTATTCAATCATATGCAAATTAAGGAAATGGAACCCATCTTATTTTTTGACGAAGATATACTTGATATCTTACTCAGCGTCGAGCTTACTTCCTCAGGTAATGTGCTATGCAGGACTTGAAAATTTGAAAGTATTGAATTTGGGGTTCAACAACATAACAGATGCATGTTTGGTACACCTGAAAGGTAGTCCCTCAATTCCTCCTTGCCCCCCCACCCCACCTCACCAAAAAAAAAAAAAAAGAAAGAAAGAAAAATGAAATTATAGTTATGATTTGAGCATGTAATGTGGTCCCTTTGTTTGTGTAAACTCCATAGCGGTATGCCACCAATTGCAAGAAGACTCCACAGAAATCCCCCACTCTTTCTTTTTTATTTTAGGTATTCTTTCTATTCCATCATATGTGATCAGAGATGCTTAAAGCAACTGGTATGCATAGTTGTCAAGGTGATGCCTAGGCAACAAGGTGCCCTTTGAGGCTCGCCTCGCCTAATCGCCTAGCAGTTTTCTACTTCCTACTATAAAATAATTTTTTATTCATTCTTTTTCGAGATTATAATTATAAAATAGACATTATTAAACTAAAATAATCATTTTGTGTGTTTATCAGCCCCTATATTTTTTGAATTTTATATTCCTTCTTCCTTTTCTTCTCATGAATATGTTGATTTTCTATACTTTAATATGAAATTTATACTTTTCTTATGAAATTCATGAATAATTATTAAAGAAATAAAGAGATACGGTTCATTTATCAAAAAAAAAATTATTAAAGAAATATGGTTATGGTACCTAGGGAACTACCCTAGGATCTATGTTTTTAACATAAAAAATCCATCGCCTAGGCGCCCCCCAGTCACCTAGCCTCGCCTGGTGCCTTGAAAACTATGCTGGTATGTATTTGGGGGTGAAAGTTGGCTGAGTTAGGTAGGGTTTGGTCATTCCTAATTCTATCCAAAGTATTGAACCCCAATCCTAATCATGACCCAACCTGATGTAGTTGACCCTAACTCAACCACCCTAAAATTCCTCCACCATATGTTAAATTTTGATGGGTGCAGCATTGGCAACCCTGGTCCTTTCAGAGTGGGAGTAATTAGAAAGGAAGTATTTGGGCCATGTTCTCAGGCCCAATCAGACATGGGGACTAACCAAGGTTCAAAATATTGCAACCCATCGGGGTTTATTGTATCATTCCTGTAGCTCCCCAATACGCTAAATAACAGGTGTTTTGACCTTTGACCACTTTCTGGGGGTATCCAGGCCTACCTGATATGCAAGTTCGTGCATATCAGGTGTCTCAATACTTTGAACTTTGGACTCAACAGGGGCTGAATTGCAAGTAGTGCTGTATGGACCTCAAAAAGCAAAAATGACTGAACTATAAAACTTAATTGTAAAAGGGGATTTGAGGGTTGTAGTAGTCTGGTTGCAAACAGATCAAGAGGGTTGTAGTAGGTTGGTTGTAATCTATCTTTTTCTTCTTTTTTCTCTCTTTTTTTTTCAATTTAATAAAATTTATCCTTCTTTACTGATAAAAAAAAAAGATCAAGAGGGTTTGTGGAAGTATAGACATATATTGTGAGAAACTAAATCCCTAATGTAGGAACTGGGAGCCAAGGCATTTCAGGTGTACAGGTCTGCTAACTGTATGGCAGATTGTCTAGCAAAACAAGGAGCAAGAAAAGAAAAAAATCATCATGGTTGTTAGCTGAGGCTGGCTGCCCTCCTCGTCATTGTAATATACTTTTTTTGTAATCAATTAATAAAGTTTTCGATTGTTTCTGATCAAAAGAGAAATAAAAATCCTCGACCTCAACCCAACCTGAGCGAACTTGAAGTTGAAGAGTCAATAGCAAAGGGAAGTAAGAACTGAGAACAAATTTCAGTAATCAAGTTTAATTTTCACACGGAACAAGTATCTAGTGATGGGCATTTTATACAAGGACTACATTAACCTCCAAGTAGGGTTAAAAAAGATGTATAAAGATATAAGCAATTCAAACAATTATGTAAGTAGCAAATGAAATTTGAGGGCACAGAAAATCATACCTTTTCCACAAATGTTCTTTGGAGAATATAATAATTCTGCTTCATCTTTATGACAGTAAAACTTTTAAAATTTTCTCTGAAGAAAAAAATTCCTATTAATCAAAGACTTAATTGATTGAACAGTTTTTCAAAATGGTTTCAAGAAAGAAGAATAAAACTTAATTGAATGGTGAATGCCCTCTTCTCAATCCAAGGCCAACCAGAAAACCCTTGATTGAGTGAAGGGTGTTTTCTACAAACAGGAAAACTATAATTGTGATTGATTGGTCAACGACAAAGCCAAGTGAGAACTAAGAACACATTTCAGATGTCAAAATCTAAAAAATTAATAGGAGCCCCCAATGTGAAATGCTGATCAAAACTGGTCATGACAGATTGTCAATTGCGATTTGAGATAGTGGTTGACTGACTGGTGAGCACTGAAGAACCAGAATGACATTTCTGGCTTCTGTGACCAGAGGCCAAGGTAGCAAGGCCAACTGAACATCAAAAACTGTAATCCAAGAACAGATGAGGTAAGGTGAGTGACTGGTGAGGTCTCAACGTAAGTGAACACCAAACAGGAAGAAATATTGAACTTTTATATAAGGCAGCAAGGTGAAATAAAGAAGAAAACTGTTTAATTAGGATTAGGATAATACATTATACATGGGATATTGGTACAAAATCTGAAGACAAAGAAAGGAGTAAGGAAGCTGTGTTAGAGATTATAACCTTAAGGGTGGCACATTGGGTGAAAACCTTAAAGCTTTTTGCAGTCTTTAAAGTTGAAGATTTTTTTTATCTCATGGAGATCAATAGCTCACTCATCCTCTAGAAGACAAAAAATAATTGAGGTCTGGTCACCTCCATGTGCTGGATGGAAGAAATTAAATTTTGATGGCAGCTGTGTGGGCAATCCTGAACCTTTGGGTATTGGTGGGGTAATCAGGGAGGAAATTGGAAATAGTCTAGCCATGTTTTCAAGTCCTATTCAGCATGGAGATGTGGTGAGATCAGAACTGTTGGCAGCTGTATATGGGGTGGAGAAAGCTAATGAATTGGAGATTGACAGATTGTTTATTGAAGGTGATTCCAAAATTGTTGTGGACTAGCTGAAAAAGGGGCAAGGAGTAATTTGACATTTAAAGAATGAATTCAGGCGCTTCAAGAAGATTTCTAAAGATATAATAATCCAAATAAAGTGGATTAGGAGGTCTGCAAACAGCATGGCATATGGGTTAGCTAAACAAGGAATTCAGAGACATTCCATGTTTTGGGCTATTTTGTAAGTATTGAAAGTGATTTTGAGCTTTCTCTTTGCCCAAAACTCCTTATTGTACTCATTTTTATAATTAATAAATCTTTTTTTTGTGTTGCTGATAAAAAAAATATTGATACAAAGTGTCAAGGCCTATACTGTTTTTATGCAACCCGAAATTAAATCAGATACAACTCCCCATCCTAAGCCTAACCTGATCTTCAGCTTGACCCAATCCAACCCAACCTTGTTGGATTGGGTTCAAGCTAACCTTGCCCAAGTTGCACCCTTATGCACATTATAACATTGTTAATAACATTTTATTACTTTCAGAAATTTTTTTATTTGAACTATGTACTTTAATGCGAGTCTTCTAGCAGAAGTTACTAGTTGGTAAAATTTGCAACCCTTCCTAATTACTCTGCTTTTCCCTCCTTTCTTTCTTGAATACTGTTTTATCATGATATCCTTGATTAATTTATAAATTAAGATTTTTATAGGGAACTATCGCAAAATTAGCTTGCACTTTTTGCAGAGGGGTAATTATTTAATTATTATATATAATATTGTCTGATCCTGTGCAGGTTTAAAAAATTTGGAAAGTTTAAATCTAGATTCATGTAAGATTGGCGATGAAGGGTTGGCTAACTTGGCAGGTATTGTCTGAGTTGATTTCCTCTTTTTATTCGATTTGCTTATCTTATTTGTATCAGATTCCTATTAACTGTTCTTAGAGCAGGCTTATGATTGCAAACATGCTTTTATGAACCTGTGTTTTATGTTATTTAGGTAAAATTTACAAAAATTGCAAAAAAATAAAAAAAAAAACAAAAGGTTAGGTCCGTATCCAGTCCAACCCTCCCAAGATCCTACATAATTGGGATCAACATTGGGCAATATGTAAACTTCACAAAACCAGTAGTTGAATCCACATGCATTATAACCACTTTACTTTTTTCTATAAGCTTGTGCAATGTATGCAAGCAAGCATTTACTCATGTATGTAGGTATGGACATATATATATGCACATAGCAGCTGTTTTATATAGTGTACAATATCTCTTCCTATGCAATGTGGTGTCTTTTTATCAAATTCTTTGAGAGCAAGGTTCAAAATATCACAAGATATTGGGGCATATCAGGCATGTTGTATTGTTCCAGTAGCACCTGATATGCCAAATAACAGGTGTTTTGACCTTTGACCACTTTCAGGGGGGTAGCCAGGCTTAAGAAAGACTGCATGTAAAATTTTGAAAAAAAAATAAAAATGGTGGAGTGTGCCTATCAAACACCCAATATGCAAGTTCGTGCGTGTTAGGTGTCTTGATACTTTGAAGTTTGAACCTTGTTTGAGAGAATATATGACCATAGGTAATTCCACTAGATATGTAGCAATCATTGGTCCAATCCTGTCTAGCAAGAGGGTTCTCACAAGGAGGCAGTATCCTTTGGAACTTAATTTCTTTTGCTATCTCATGGATTCTATTGAAGGAGAGGAATAACAACATATTTGAGAGATTTTGAGAATAGAAGTGTATAGAGGAGTTCTCTCTCTCTCTCTCTCCCACCCCTTCAACCCTGATGAAGGTGGGGCACAATCCCAGGTTCCACTACAACATCAGGTAGAGACTTTACCAGAAAGCTAGCTGGTACCTTCATAGAGGAGTGACTGGATTCATTTATTGTTTGGTGTTACTTTTTAGTATATTTTGAGAGCCTAACTTCACATCATTTCTGTAATGATTTGCAGCATATTGTGTTTCAACCATTAGATGTGTATAGGCTGTATACTTTGTACATGAGCCAACTTGGGATTCCTATTCCTTTTTGGACAACTAATGTAATACGAATTTCACACTTGTAAAAAAATAGTAGTAGTCATATAAATCAATAATAAAATGAAAGAAATGCAAAACAAACCAGTGTTTCAAAAGGCATGCCTAGGTGCAGAGGCACAACTCACCTGGTTTAATTTTCACTTTGAATAGGACTTATATATCATGCTTATGTATTTTAATTCAAGTCAATAGGATTTTTAAAGCATTTAATTTCTTCTAAAATTCAACTTTGAGTTTATTATTTTTTTTCAAAAATTTGCACCTTGCTTTGAAAAGGTGTGTTACCTTGAACCTCAGGTAGTAGAAGGCCCTTGCACTTTTCTTGTATGTTGTGCGTTTAAAACACTAAAACAAATGTTATGAGGGAGAGAACTTACTGGCATCCATACCAATAAACACTTCTTCTAAGCATTTTATTAAGAATTAGAAGTTTTCTAGACTTCACATCTAGATTAAAGACACAGGAGACCAATGGTAGTCTGGATCTGTACTGGATTTTGGATTCATTGTCTTGGAACCTTGGTGGTGTTTGGTTCCCATCCCCTTCTCCGAGGTAGCAGTCTCTTCATCGTATGAGGCTATAAAGTTTTCTAACCCACCTTCAGTCATTAATGAAGTTTTCTATCATGTCTGAAAAAAATGAAGGGGAAGAGGGGGAAAGGGGTATAAGGTGGAGGGCTTGCCTCGTGCTCTTGAAATTCTTTCAGATGGAGCCTGGTATAAGGTTTGGCTGGCAACGGAAGTTGAGGTGTCTCTTTGGGGGAGACGACCAGAGGTAGGGGATGATGACGTGGCAGTGGGATGGAGCACATGTGGCACCCAAGGAGTAGAGAAGCAACCTACTGCGCGTGACAGAGTAATTAGAGAAAATGAACAGTCGTAGGGTTTTTCCACCTCTCGAAGCCTTCCTTTAAAAGCAATTAATTCAAATTTTTTTGAATTAAATTCAAGAGTTTTAGGTGGCCTTTCCTATGCTAATGTGGCCAGAAGAGATTGTTACTCGACGCGTCTTAACAAGGCCACCACTTCTGAACTGGGTGTAAGATTGGCCGAGCCATCTTTTGGTCCACTCACCACTTGTAGCGGGCCACGTGACGACTTAAGTCATCACGTGGGGCGGGACAAGCCCTATTTGATTGTAGACGGAAACGTCCGTCTATCTTCTTCCAGAAAAGAGGAGCCCAATTTGTTTGCTTCTCAGGGCTATTAGAAATCGCGAACAAGCGGAGGAAGGCGTCCCCTAAGCTGGAATCTTCGTCCGGACTGTGGCGAGCAAGCTTCCAGTGTAGAAGATCGCCCAAACCCACACTACAGTAGGGGTAAAATAAAAGAGAGAGAGGAGGAATATAGAGGTTGGATAAGTTGCAGCATGGAGAGTGATGAAGAGGGGATTTCAGAAGACAGATTTGGAGACTCCGGTAAACTTGAACAGGGTAGACCAAAGCTCAATTTTGGACAAGCCTCTACCAAGGTTTGGCCCCTTGTAAGTAGCCATTAAGGTGGTAGGTCATGCTTACCCAGATCTAAACAAGAGTACATCACAGAGAGGTGGACAACCGGGTAGAGGAAAAGGTATTTGTGTAAACCAGTTGACGAGGAATAGTTCCCTCCAACCCGAGGAGATTGAAAGCTCCAATTGTTCTTTACAGGGTTTGAAAACCAACCACCCTCCTCTGCCCCTTTCCTACAACCCTAAGTTGGAACTAGGTAACTCTGACAACTCTGTCAATTCAGTTTGTGCTACTGATGAGTGTTCTGTGTCCATTGTTCCAGATTCCTTTTCCAACCAAGAGTCAAAGGTCCATGGACAGGAAGCCGCAATGAGATTACAAGGGGAGGAGGGGGAGACAATTGTAGGATTACAGGGCAGGGATAAAAGGATATGGGGTATCATTGAGAGGATAATGGGTGAAGTGAAGAGGAATGATTTACAAAGGGTGGGTACAAATGGGACAGAAAGAGTGCCTAGTGGAGAGAAAGAGAAAAGGAATGAGGAGAGGGGTAGACATGGAGAGCTTGGAAAGCTAGATAAAAAGGAGAATTGTAGGGAAGATTCAGTGGCAGAATTTGTGGGAAAGCTGGGGTGTAAACTGAAGAACCCAAATGATTTAAAAGCATTTCTACGAAAAAAGGAGGATAGAAAGTTCAAGAAAAGAAAATTGAGTGAGGTTGAGAGATTAAAAAGAGATATTGAGGGGGATAAGAAGTTTGGGGCTAGAGGGGATAGAAGGAAAGGGCCCAAGTAGATTTTGGTGGTGATAGGGTAGATTCTTGCAAAATTGTGATGAGAATCGTAAGTTGGAATGTGAAGGGGCTAGGTAGTGCTAGAAAGAGAGCAACAATCAAAGAGGTGTTTAAGAAGTTCAATCTAGATGTGGTATTGTTTCAGGAATCCAAAAGAATGGATTTTGACTGTAGGTGGGCGAGAAGTGTCTAGAGAGCTAAGGGGATTAAGTGGGCGGCTGCTCCGTCGTGGGGGTCCTCAGTTGGTATTGTGACTTTGTGGAAAGATGTGTTTCGACTGCTGCTATAGTAGTCCGGACAAGAAGAGGAGAAGAAGAAGAAGAAGAAGAAGAAGAAGAAGAAGAAGAAGAAGAAGAGAAGAAGAAGGGTCAGTCGAAAATCTGATGGTTCACCCATCCAGTCGATCCCCTTAATCTATATTAGATTCTAATAATGTTTACAAAGACAGAAATGCCCTTACTTAAGTGTGGGGCAGAGTAACTCTAATAACACTGCCACATAAGCAAGTTACTTAATAAACAGAAGAAGACTAAACTACCCCTATTCGG